TACCCATGAAGTGCATGGGAACCTCCTATGTACTACGGGTGTGCCTCTTGAGCCTGCCGAAGGGAGGCAGGGGCTGCAGCTGCAGCTCCTGCTCGAGTGCGTGAGGAACAGGCTATTTTGGGCCTGTTCCGCATCCCTGTTTCCGTGCCTGAGTCTTAGGAGCAGGTCGAAACAATGAGGGCCTGAAAATGGCCCTCCRTTTCAGGCTGAAAACTCTGGGTCTGGAAAGACCCAGAAATAGGCTGAAACGAGGTAGGGCCTGCAGGCCCTCGTTTTTCAGCACCCAGGCTGAAATGAACGGGGCCTGTAGGGCCCGTGTGGCTACGCAGTATGCCACACCCAGGGACTGCCTCGGTTACGTACGAAAAAGGAAGTCAGGGCCTGGGCGCTCTCAACCAACTGGCGCTGTGCAACTGCCTGAATTTCCCCAGTTCCGTGGTGGCTGAAAAATAGGCTCTTGGCCTTGGTCAGGCCCGCCTTCACTTAGGGCAGCCGACAGCGCTGGTTACCGGGCCAAGAAGGGGCGTGTCGGGTCCTTGTGCCTCACATTCCCTCCTCCATACTTCGACAGTCCTCTGAGAAGTTCCATTACTCAATCTGGCGCTTTCCCTTTTGCAGTAGCTTATCGTAGCGAGTGACAGCCTGTGGAGCGGTCTGCATTAGTTCCTCCCGGGTAAACCATCTGCGATATTGCAGCTTCGGCTTAGGAGGACGTCCCTTGCCTGTTGGTCTTGGAACTGGAATTTCCCTGTGGTCCATGATGTCGTCGATGTCGACCTCTCCATCCATGGTTGGGGCCAGCATTGAGCGAAGAGAGGGGAACTGATCAGTTTCTCTGAAAGGTGCAAGTTTGGAGGCGTGAAAGACAGGGTACGTATGAAGGTGACCAGGGATCCGGATTACATATGACGGCCCATCCGGATCACCCCCGACAAAATCAAGAACCTCCCATGGTCCAAAGTACTGTGGCATGAGCTTGCGGGAGATCCCGTGCCCCTGTCCCAGTTTTGAGGACTTGACCCAGACTCTGTCGCCTACCTGAAATGTAGATGGGCTGCAGTGTTTGTTAGCAGACTCTATCATCGCCGCCTGTGCCTTGTGCATTTGTTCTACAGCTTGCATGCATCCCCCTCCGAGAGAAGAAACTCTCTCTCTCTCTCCGAACGTCCCCCTGTCGCCGATTTTAATCTCTCTTCTCCTCCAATCCCGACTCCCTCCCGTGCCGAAGCCCCCTGAGATCCGGACTCGATCAGCAAACTTGCGATGCCAACCCTCTTCCCTTGCGCAAGTAAGTGTGTGTGTGTGTGCACATGCGTATGTGAGTACCGCACGCACACACACGTACACACACACACATAATTATAATCATTACTACAAATTACAAGAATAAATTACGATAATATTATTAGTATAATAGTATACATAATATAGTTATAATAATAACCACTCGGCCAACTGACGAACCACAACCATTCTCTGCCCTATGAGGTGCACACCACCTCAAACATGCATCTCTCTC